AATGGTTGCATTTTTTTTCATTGGAGAAAAGAACATTCGTTGGTAAAGAATTACGCATATGTAACTCATTTTCATATTACAGAAAAAAAATCACATTATATTACTAATGCATATGCCCCTCCAGATAAATAAGTTGAAAACAGACGTTTAGAATTGAAAATTTATCTTTTTGTTTCGATAATTAGGTTAACGTATTGTTAGTTTTGTTCTATAGAACTTAAATTTCATTTGTTGTGTCAGTTACTTGTTTTATAAATTACAGTGGAAGTGATTAATAGTAGTGTAATTACTCATCTACAGAGATTCATTTCAGCTATTGGATTCGCTTTTTAACTTTGAAAATTAAAATTTTCAATTATTGAGGATGCTAGTTCCTATAGGCTTTTGAATTTTAGACAGATTAACATAGTTATATTGTTCTTCACGTAATCTTTCAATAGCGCGTGTTAGAACAACTGCACAGTTATCACATAAACAAGACTTAACTCTATTCACTAGTTAAAATTACGTTCTTCACCGATTTCTTTGATAAAATGATTGTTTTGATCACTATTGACTTAGCATTTTATGAGATATCAACCAACAAAGGCAAACAATGCCTCTGTACCTCATAGGAAATATTCATCTGTAGTAGATATGTGAATAAGATCAGATTTGATGCACTCTTAGTCTAAGTCAGCTCAGTTTAAGTTATATTTGTAGTTATTATATCTTGAGTATATAACATCTCTTTTTGGCTCATCTTCATCTGCGAGACAATGCACATTTTATTAATGCATCTCAGTTGACCTAGCTCAGATGTTATCAGTTTTTAGGTTGAAATATTTGTTATAAATATTTGTAGATATGGGTTTATAAACTAAAATGCAAATCATCAATGTTTGGATTTGCACTAACAATAGTTGTGATTATTCTATTATGTTAAACAATGATGTTATTTCATGCGTGAATGGAATTCGTGGAGATTAGAAAGAAATAGCAGGTTAAATCAGTCTTCCAAGTTCTTGAGTCCAACCATGTTCGAACATCGACTCCTCGTAGAACGATATTGAACCTTTCGAGAACAGACGCTATTTTAATCTATATTTCAGTAGTTTTATCACGGTCTAATCTTTTACAGTCTGAACAAAATCTGAACAAACTTTTAACTTTTTTTTGCTATGTGAAAGTTTCGTTCATTGTTTGTGTTATTTTACATAAATTTGCTGATGAATAGGAAAAACTCAAACACATCGTAATAAAAGTCATACTTTCTAATAAAGAGTCAGGAACTAGTTTAAAAATCTTTTTCTAAGCGTTTATCGAGGCGAGTTGAAAATATGGTCGATACACTGTGAATAATTGCAATAGATTTTATATTGCGTGATGCGATCGAAATAAAGTATTTTATTTTCCTTCTCCTGTAATCATCATCATCAACTATTCAATATTTAATTTCCTCGTTTTTCTAACCGATAGTTTCTTTCTCTTTCGCATCGTATACACAGAGTGGTGTTTCATTGGATTCTGTACACCGCCCCATTCAATGTTTTTCTTCTCTCATCAATCCAATACGCTTTTTCTCTCTCTCTCTCTCTTATTCTTATTCTTATTCACGGCTCAATTTGATATTATCAACCATGTTGGCATAACATACATACACACACACACAACACAAAATTATCAGTCACGCAATTGAAAACGGAAAAATGCTTGAAAAACGACATTGCACTTTATTCAACATCAGAATCACAGACACACAATCTTATAAAAAAGAAAAAAGAAGAAATTTTGTTGTCAACTTATTAAATAATGAAACAGACTGTTTCCAAACAAGAAGACACATCTCTCTCTTCGTTTATTCAATACATTGACCACCTGGTAGCAAAAAAAATTTCGAAATGACAACGTGTCAATGATCGAAACGGAAGTTTGAGTTAGCAGGTTCTAATGGAATCTATCAACATATTTTTACCTCATCTAGTGAAAACACATAGTAAAGTTTTCAAAGTAAATGAAAATAAGTCAGACAATGATAACATACTTTACAAAATAGTCAATATGTGATGAATATGTGCACAACTATTAATAAAAATGGAAACTCTTTGAGTTTGAATCATATCCACTTTACCAGAAAAATATAAAGTATTCCAGCTAAATAAATATTAGTGCTTGGATAAAACTTAGTCGTTGAATGAAAAAGATGTCAAACATGAACAATATATCTAAACGTTAAACAACAACCTGACGATAATTCCAGAAACGATTGATTTCTATGAAAAGTACAATAGATGTTAGACGTAACCAATCTCTCTCTATATATTTATATATATGTAACGGTTGAATGGAGAGCTACCGTGTATAGGGATACATTATGATTATTATTATTTTTAATAGTGTATCTTATCACTTCTCTCTTCCCACTCGTTGCATTACAATCAATTAGCACGTAATTTAAACTTCACAGTTCATTATTACTAAAGGCAACGGGATTGAAACATGATGATGATGACTTTATATATTAATCAAGAAACTGATGAAAAAAAAAAAATGACCATATTCATAAGAACAAGAAAGATAAAAAACACATTTAATGAGGGTAGATAAAAATAGATATGCTTTGTGATAACATGAAACCTATAGAATACATTAAATATTTTAAAAGGAATATATCACACTTTTTGTCAAAAATTTATATTGAATATGCATCAGCTTGCTATATTATCTAAATTTTCTTTTTTCCGCGACGAAAAAATAATTGTCTATTTCTAATATGAATGATGCAATGTAATAACTACTCGTATATATAAATAATAACTAAAGTAGATATGAATGGTTCATTAATATTTGAAAATAACCACTTGTATCATTTCTAATAAACAGAAATATACTCCTCCGTGCTCATATATCATTTCTGAGTGTCTAGAAGTTGATAAAAAGAAAATTTTAATGGTTAGTTTTTATTTGTGTATAATAAATTCTCATTTATATTGCTAGAAAAAAACCGTGTATTTAACCAATTTGTTGTGTTATCGAATATAAAATTTATTTTTATTAAGTGCATAATTTTCAACAGAAACTATGTCTATAGTAAAAAGAAAAAAAATGAGTTTGTCAATTCTCAATATATATATTATTTATTCTTTAACTTTTTAAATACAAAGAAAAAAACCTACTGTGTGAATTTTTCCTTCTTTTTTTTTTTTTTCTTCTCTCCCTCCCATATAAAACAAGATGAATATGGACTTAACTCTCCATTCATGTAATTACTGTGTTTTAAAACTTGTTACATATTTTATATTTCTTTAACATCATATAGTACTTAGAACAAGTATTCATATTCACAACCTATCTCTTATAAATATTTGATAAATGCTGAGTCAAACAATAGAAAATAAAAAATCTATAAAGAAAAAAGAAAAAGAATAAAAGTCGATGTTTCCGGAATATAGAAGAGAGCGAGATCGTACAATGCCATCATCGCTTAACTTTTTGTTATTTATTTCATATAAAAAAAATAATACAAAAAAAAAAAAAAAAAAAGATTTCAAATGGGCAAATTGACGCAAAATATTGTACAATGAAAATCTATTGGGAGATGTTTCATCTACATCAAAAATATCACATCCCTTTCTTCTTATTCTTAGTTTCGTAATCAAACAAAAAAAAAATAATAATGAAAAATTCTATTACATTTAGTTGACAAATGGTCTCCTCATACTTCTGAAGTCTGAAAAATAAGAAATAAAAAAAAAAAGAAGCATGTTACACGCTGTAAACTTTATTAGTCGTAGTTTTAACTGTTATTTTTTTTGACTATCAACAAGTGTTTCGGTTTAAAAAATTTGATAATCAAAAACTCTTATCATTGATTTCGATTGAATTACTTTCATAGAGTATATAGAATAATAGTAAAGAAACTAAAAAGAAAAAATATAGTAAAAAAGTTATATAAATTATGATACTACGCAAGAAATATGAGCAAAACTCTATTTATTATTGTCCTCTACTTTCAATTACAATCATTTGAAGACACAATGTTTTACTTGTCATAGTATAAAAAGTATACAATAAACGAAAAACGTAGTTTCAAGATTTTTCTCGAATACATATTATCACAATTGTAATCTTAAAGTTATGCTATTCCATCTATTTTCTTTGCTACCAGAAACTTTACATTATCTAGTTCAAAATATTAGTACAAGAGTTTTGAATTTAAATTGTCAAATTGAACTATCTTAAAATTAATTTAAATATGTATCCAACAGATTCCGATACGTTCTTTAAGCAGCATACTATTTCTAAAGACAGTAAATACTATCTATCTCTCTATCTCTATTGCACTATCTAAATTTATAGATTAATTCGAAGCTCTACTTCGATTCTCGTTTGTGTTTAGCATGTATGTCTTTGCTCTCTTTACAAACAAACGAGTAAAAAACAATTTTTTGTGCTTAATAAAATATGTTTGATATATTCAATATGTGAGAGAAATAATTGGAGAAACAACAAATTTTTCTTTTCCTTCATTTCTCTTTCATATATTAATGTCTCCAATCCTTATTCATGTATAATAACCAATCATGTAGTGAGTTTGAATATATCACAATTGTTTCTTATATTCCTTTCCTTTTCTTCTTGTTTTTTTCTATTTTTATTTTTTTAATATTAGTGAGAAATATAGTTGTTTTGTTTGTCAGCAAACGGGAGACAAATATTTTTCTCCTCTCTATACATCAAAAATCAGCCTTCAAAAAAAAAACTAAGATGAAGCGAAAAGCGATCGTTTTATAAACAAATATATGCATGTTTTAATATAAAAAAAGAAAGAAAAAGAAGAAAAAAATGTCGTTTAGAACTAAATTACAGTTAGTCAATTTTTAAAAGAGAAAAAAAAGAGAAAAACGAACGAAACTATTCGCTTTGTTGTTGATATCGTTGACAAATCAAACAAAGTTGTTTGTTGAGAAATATCAAACCGAGATATACATAAACATAATTCCCAAACGTCACGAACAGTTATGATGCCGCGAGATATTATCAGAAACTATTGTGGTGGTCCGCCTATATTTAAACCTACCACTACCATCACACAATCGACAACTCCTCCAACATCTACTGTTTCTAAAACAACACCGACAACAAATGGTGACAGTATTGTACCAAATATTATTCCTCCCTATTCCAATATGGTCTTATACGATTTACATCGTGCACAACAATTGTATGATTATGCTGCACGTTTAAGATTTTCTGTACCACCTCATACATACAATAATTTTACTCATCCACAAGCTGATTTTACACATGCATTATTAGCACTAAATCGAAATGATCCACGTTTAAGATTTGTGCGCGAAGAACCAAAACCATCCTACTCATATATTGGTTTAATTGCTATGGCCATATTATCATCACCAGAAAAAAAACTTGTACTTAGTGATGTATGTATAAGCTTAGATAGCTTTAGTAATACAATAATGATTTAATGTTTATGTTTAATATTAGATCTACCAATGGATATTAGATAATTATTCGTATTTTCGACAAAGAGGTCCTGGTTGGCGAAATTCAATACGACATAATTTGTCACTCAAGTAAAAATTTACACTCTAATTTTTCTTACTTTTAGTTGATGGAGTGATAGAAATTTATAACTGATATAAACACGATCAATGTTTTGCAAGATTTCCATAGAGAATTTTAGATTGAGTATATTTAAACGTGTAAGAGTATTTTTTTATTTTATTTAAGTGATTGTTTTGTCAAAGCTGGTAGAAGTGCCAATGGTAAAGGTCATTACTGGGCTATTCATCCAGCAAATGCTGAAGATTTTTCAAACGGAGATTTTCGTCGTCGTCGAGCACAACGTCGTGTAAGGAAAAGCATGGGACTGGCGGTGCAAGATGAAGAAGAAGAAGAAGAAGATATTATGCAAACAAATGGAGCAGATATTGTTTACAATACACATGAACAGTAAGTCATAACTTTAAAAGATTTTATTTAACAGTTTGTACGGCTCAACACATCCAAAACTTAAAATTAGATACAAGAAATGATGTGTAGATTAGAGAGACGCTTTTCGGTTTAGAACTATTTTCGTTATTATTTTTATCTCCGTGAAGGATGCGGTGGTACATAGGTAACATAAAATTAGAACTTCAACGATCAGTAAACTATTAATTTGTAATTTATGTGAAAGATGGTTTCTAGTATTTATTTAATCAGCTACTCGAGATATTTACAGCGCTATTTAACTATCTAGGTAAATATATATATAAATCTCAGATCCTAATTTGTGTCTCATTTATTTAGCTCTCTACCAAAACTTGATACTGATGATTTATGTTTATCCAATCATAAAGACAATTCACTGTCATCTACAACATCCGCTCTTCTCAATCGGTATCTTGATGATATGCATCGATCCGATATTAATAATCATACACAATTATTTTTAACACCACCATCTGCACTAGACAATCATTCATTGACTACTCGTATTCCTCCATTTTTGTCATCAACTCCCACATCCTCTTCGGCCTCCTATTACTTGAATACGTTATCACCAATAATACACATTCATCCATCAATGGCTATGAATTCACTATTAGCCTCTTCATCTTCAACAACAATTCCAAGAAATAGTCGTAAACGTTGTTTTGATATTGATAATTTACTTGCACCTGAACCAAAACGTTCCAAATTATCAGGACAATCAGATCAATTAATTAAAACGAGTAAAGACGATGAAAATGACTGCAGTTCTGTTAAGAATAACAGTGATGAACATGATGAAAATTCTTATATTCAAAATTTAAAAGAAGTCAACCCTAATAAACATACAAATAATGATCAAAATTCTCCCATTCCAAGTCCATATTCTATCAATTCAAAATCGGATAGATCACATTCGACAGATGATAGTAGTGTAGAAACGGCAAATACGGACACAAACGCTAACACATACAGTAATTTAACACCATTATCATCACGATATATTGATTTTGTTGAATTTTCTTGTAAATCATAACTCTCAAACATATTTTCTTATTTTATACAAAAAAGAGAGAATATATGAACTGTTCAATTAAGAAATATAAAGCCCCAATTGTGAAGCTGTGGAACAGCCGTTAAATTATTATATTTTTTTCTACTACAACCTCCTGTCGTGTGTATGTACACATCGCTTTCTTCTACATGCTTGAATAAAACGTCACTTGAGAAGTCGTTTTTTTTTTTTTTGTCTTACTGTACAAACTATTCACTATTGATTATGAAGGTGACTTTCAAGAGATGCTCACAGGTTCAAACTGGTGCGCATAATATAAACAGTTAGTGTGTGAAATATTTTTACTCGAACTATACTCGTTACATGCGAGACAGAATCTTATAATTTTTTATAAAAATTAACTTGAAGATTTCATAAGTTCAAAGACTCGAGAACAATTTGCACCTTTCGTTTGAAAACAGTTGGTAAAAAAATAAAGAAGAAAATATCATCGCCTTTTAATTTGTGATAACCTCCTACTGTTTCAACTCAGAACCAATTGTTTATAAGCCAATCACTATTTTTCTAATCTCTCTTGTTCATTCTCTGTCGTGACATACAAATATTCTAAACTAAACTGACCGTTCATTCATTTATATTAATGTAGAAAAATTTATTTTAATCAATTTGATCGCTCCTCCTATACTCTTTTCTCTTTCCTTTCAAATCAATTGCATGTTGTGACTATGTTCATCATAACATTAAACTTGAGCATTGGGTATAACAAGAGACCGATGAGAAAAAGAGAAAAAGATTAATCATTTGTTAATAATAGTCGAACACATAATAGACTAATAATGATCATAAAGAAACACCGAAAGAGAAACAAAGATGTTAATTGACATGAGCATATCAAGTAGCATAAATTCTGTACTGGTATAAAACGAGAAGAGGAAGAACAATGGAAACTATACGAAAAGCTAAGATTTAAAATAGAAATTTCGCCAAAATTTTATAGCATAACATAAAGTATTTTTAACTGATTCTCTCTACATCACTTTATTGTATGTACACAACTGGACTATTAGTACGTTATTATTTTAGAAAGATCGATTTCTATCCATCGAATATTAGAACTGGAATGAGATTAAATGTTTATATTTTATTTCGGTTAAAAATCAAATGAAGTTAGTTATGTCGAATTCGTTAGATGTGCTAAAGAAAAAAATATGATGATGATTGAATTCAAGAGAGATTGGTGAAAATTCACAACTCTAACACCTTTATGGTGGAAAATAAATAAACAGTAGGAGTGCGAAAAAAGTTGCGAGTGAGAAATAGTCGTCAATGTATGTGTAGGTATGATAGTCAAGAAAAAAAGATTTATAGAAAAAAATCAAAAATTTTTTATCAGTAGCAACATCAACCAGAAAAAAAATGCAGACAAAATTCTGAATGAGGATCGCTCAGTGGAAGTATCTATCTCTTCTCTATCTTTTATTAAATCATTTTAAGATAGTTCCAGATAGATTCGCTCACTTAAGTGAACGAATCAATAGACGCTTTCAATTGTTACACGATCGAAAGCCGTCAAGTTCTGGATATGTATAACGACCAGTACTACTAAAACTAGATAGACGCTACGAGAAACATGACCGTCTCTACACGCAAGTTATGAGTTTTAAAGCTCTTAGAAGTCCAGACTTCATAACAGCGACGTATTCATCACTAGGTCAAGGGTGACCAAGAAACCATGATCCACCTCTTAGAAAGTTTGTTTTCTTTAATTTAAAGTAGAAAAAAATATTTTGATTGAAATCGAAAATAAAAATACTACACAAGAACTTTTGTCTTTGACCAAAAAAAGGTTTGACCTAACCCTTACTGGAATCCAGAATACGTTGTTGCTTCATAAACGTCCTATCGTCAGGATTTTATCTTACATTTCGTACTTTTTTTAGTAAATTTATGTACAAAAATTTAATTGTTCTAGGTTTTTTTTGAAATTTTCAGTTTATTCACAACATCATGATCTATGACTCACATTTGTTTGCTACTCTAATATTTTAGATTGTAATTTCTCTTGCAAAAGAAAAATTATTCGATCTGCTATTAAAAATATATCTTTTATAATTAGAAGATGCAGAATTTAGTTGTCTACAAAACTATATGTTTCGTTCCAACATTCTTCTACATAATATTTAAATAAAATACTAGTTTTCAACATTTGCCCACAAATTCATCTATTCAAGCACCATATCGCGCACGAAAAACATTATGGATTGTACTTAGTGATGTATGTATAAGCTTAGATAGCTTTAGTAATACAATAATGGTAATAAAACAACATTATGGACAAAACACATAAATAAAGTCTCCAGAAAATTTCGAATGTCAGCCCGGCTTTCCTACTTCATGTTTACACATTTAGAATTTGAAGGAAATATACTACTCGAGTGGTGAAGTTTATTTTCAGTTTTGAAGCGAATTAATTCGCTAGATTAAACTTTTTTGAAATATCGACTCAATACGCCTCATAGCGCGACATAACGTCCGAATATAAAAATTTCAGAAGTATTTAATTTAATGATTTCAGTCGCTTCGAAACTGAAAATAAATATTACCACTCGACTCAGCATGGTCGATTACCTATATTTCGAGGTTTTTTGGAGTGATCCAAGGGCAGCTGGCCGAAATCGGGGCTCTCACGAAACTACTTATATTTCCTGAACAGCACAAGCTAAAGAGCTGGGCCTTGTGTACATCAATAGAGAACAATTTTCTCTATCGAATGGTTGTATTAGAATTTCAAATCTAACGGGGAATCTTTTCTCCAGGCAGTGCCCAATATGTCAAGCGAAAACTCACCTGATTGGTCAATTGTTGACCAACCAGCTTTCGATATTTACTAATAAAGAATATTATTCTCTTTCGAATGTTGAAAACCGCAGGTCTCTAGCTGCTTCCTATCCGGAGTTATTCAACTTACAACCGACTCCATTGTTCATTGAAATGGATAGTAGTAATATTGTAACTTTGACTTAATTGTACTGTAGGGTAAACAGAGACTGCTTGAATTGTAACCGTATTTATTACTTATCTAAGTGATATCATTGGATAGAAGTAGCATGATTCAAAAACGTTTCTACGTACTTTTCCGTGTCCTACTTTTGATATAAAATCTATTTGAAATCCTACCATTTCCCTACTTTTTGAATATATGCTACAACGAACCTTAGAGGAATGTATATTTCATACTCACTACAAACTTTCAGATATTCGTACACTACTGGTGAAAGAAAGAGCATAAACATTAGTATATTTTCTCTTGGAATTCAGTTTTTACTTTGATGTTTAAGGAATAATTTTGACTTGCAATCCAATCTAATTTAGGGAAAAAACCGTTCATTTCGTAAACCGTAAGATTAACTCAAAATCTAATCAAAAGGATGATGATTCAAGTTTAAGCTTATTTCCTTTTAACGTTTTTTCTCTAATAAGAAAAGCCATTCTGACGTTTTATGGTTTGAAAGACTACTGCTACACCCATACTTTTGAACTAGTTTATCTCTGTAATCTGAAACGCAGAAATAGTGCTTCTTCACACAAAAATGGGCTAAAACTTTTTAGAATGTGGAAAAATATCATAAGATACAATAGTATTTTTCACTCGATAATAAGATGTTTTATCAGGTGCATCAGAACTAGAGATATGTACGAACATCGGAATTATCATGGCTGCGGCTATGCTCGTACTGTCCGTGAGCACGAACAGGCTCGTAAAAACACATAGATGGGCAACTAACTGCCTCTTCGACGGCCACACATTTTTGAAAATTTTTTTTGAGCTGCAAAACTGGAAGGTTTGAATTGCTGATGAAATATAGATAGTGAGACATGCAATAGAAAAGAGAATATAATATACATGCGTGGACGAGAAATTTTTCTTCACATATAGACTATTTTATGCGATCAACTGCAAAAAAAGTGTTCTTTTTGTTCCATACGCGTGATATATAACTCTGTTAACAAATATCTCATTTTGAAAAACATTGTCTTTCGTGAACGAAATGTACAATGCATGCATATTTATATCAATTTTTGAAATATATACCAGTTGTTATAATGAAAGATAAGCTTGTAAAGTATATGAATAACAAAGATTCTGATATAATTCTATTCAGAATCAGCGAATCAGAATATTTTTAAAGCAATAACTGGAAAAAAAAATTTCCATTTGATCATAGACAAACGCCCTAGATAGGACTGCGGGTATGGATGGGCAGAATAATCTTCCCTCTATAGATGTCTCTTAGGAATTTTTGATTGAATATTTTGCCAGGAAAAAAAGGACTAAGCGAGTAATGCTCAATTAACTTTTTTTAGATCTATTAACAAAAACTTAAGTGCGAGCAAAGTTCTTCAGAATGTACTAAAACTTCATACTAGTGTATGTAAGATCGACAGCTAGAATTGCTTAATTAAACAATGGTTAACTAGCCCATTGTTTTTTTCTAACATTGAAAACCATTTTTGTTAAGAAAAAAGGAAAACTTCCATACAACAATTTGTGATTATTATTACATTAATAAAAGCAAAAGCTTATAAAAATAGTTTTTGCTTCCTCTGAAGTATTTAATAAATATATAATAGATACATAGCGAGATTTCGAAAACAAAAAAGGTTTGATATGAGAAAAATAGTTTTTGAGTTAGTTGAGTTGAGCTGCTAGTGAACAAAAAAAAAAAACTAACATCAATATGTCACCGACATGACGTCTTTCTCGTTGCCATAATGTTGACTAGTGTGAAAATACACATAAATAAAAAATAAATATAGACTAGTCGCTCGCCTAACAACAGATAAAGCTTATATTCACATGGATAGTACAAAGAGCATGGATAATACACGCGTGGAGAGAAAAAAAATGATACAAAAATATATGAAATGTCTGTCTGATGCTAGGCAAATGACATAAAATAAATGCGCGTTTAAGACTTTTCTATTGGAAAAAACCAATTCACAACATCTACCTGATGGCTGCTGTTTTCACCGGAATATATTGATTGAACATCTTTTGTTTTTATTTAAAATTTATCCATATTTCTTTTTCAAATGTGCTGGTGGATCAAATGGATTTAATCGACGACTCATATAATCCTCATTCATTGGTTTTGATTGAATTTGGCGTAAACGTTGACCTTCACTTAACAACTGCTCTTGTCGTTTTAGTCTCATAATGTCAAGTGGTGGTTGAATTGGTTCATATTGTGTTGTATAGTGTTTTTCTAATTCTAATTGACTATTTGAACCATAATTATCGTTTTCACCATATCGATCCTGGTCATAGTCCGCGTCATTCTGATAATACATCCCATATCCATTCCGAGTATTGCCGTTTGTTGCAACATATCCATTCGTATAACCAGCTGAACGAGTTTGAACTCGTTGTTGATTATTAACAATTAGTTCATTCTTCGTCTGATTACTTACTGGCATTGGTGGTAATTGAAGCTCTTCAGTAATTACTGGTGGTAAAATATAATCACTTTTCTCATCATCATATTTAGCTTGTGATTTAATATTATCCAAATTAAAATAATTACAACTTCTTGGTACAAATCTAGAAATTTTTTCATTGATTGCTTTAAATAATTTCATTTGTCGTTCAAAATCACGTATAGTTTCTAAATAATTTTCACGATCACGTTCAAATTCATGTTGTAAATCATCATTGTCAGCTTCTAAACGTTTTTTAGCTAAACGTTCTTGTTCTAATTGTTTATTCTTGTAATGAAGCTACATAAAAAAAATCAGAATAAAAAAGTATATGTATTTATTTTAATAAGATCACTGTATAAAATTAAAATACTCCAACGAAGAGGATACTTACTTCTTCTTGAACATTATCGAAAACTCGAAACATGACATCATCATCATCCGCGTTAATTACTTCTGTATAACGTTTTCGTTGTTTCTCTTCCATATCTTTTAATTTCTTTTTACGTTTCTTTTTTCTCTCTTCATTGTTCGCCTCCTCTCCACCAACAATCTTCTCCTCCAATTCTTGAAGACGTTTTTTAACTTCTTGTTGATCTTTTGGTGCACCGTTGTCATTATGATCGCCATCACTAGTGACTGTTTGCTGTTGTTGTTGTCTTGCACCCTTTTTTTTGCCACGGCGTACATTCGGCAGCGGTTCTAAGTAACAGAAAGTTTTGTAAGTTTTATTAGCATGGTATGGGTACTCGCTCAATCGTTACCAACACCGTTTCCATTCGCCAAAGAATCTATTTTTTCGTTATATTCTGCTTTTAACTTTTCCAGTTCAGTTTGGTAATTTGTTCGTTCATCTTCACATTGTCGACGCAATTCCGATGCTTGGCGTTCAAATTCAGTACGCAAACGTTCTTTTTCTCGTTCTATTTCGTCTCTATCGATTACCACAGATAAATCAACCTGAAATGGAAAGAATATAAAAACATTGTTTTCAAGATGTTTACTTTAAGTTGGAAGCAGCTTTTTTATTTTAGTCAAGTAACTGAAACACTTTCTGGTAGAATAAAATCAGATTCATATAGAAATTGTAGATTCAAATTTTATAAGAGGGGTGAACTGCAGCATCCTACATGTTTTAAATACATGCACCCTTCAATTAAAATACGATAAAGAAATGACATCTTTCGATTCTATGCATTTACTATTACATAAACGTGCATGTTTCTGTTCTTCTAATATGCTCATGGGGAAAGTGATTTAGATTAATTGAAAATAGAACAGATGAAGTATTCGACCTTAAACTTTTCAGTTTACTCAAAAAATAAACAACATGGTAAATGTGCGAAAAAATACAAAGATAAACATTTATCTTACTTCGCCGTTATTGAAAGATGGCAATACATGTCCACCACTGGACTGTGATGCTAGTTCTGCTTTGAGACGATTGATTTCCTCTTGTAATAATTTCATTTGAGCATCTAGAATTTTTAAGTACATGATATAATTACTGATATTTACCATAAAAATGTAGTTTAGTAAACATTTACACTATTCGAAAGCAGATCATCTTGGTGAGACAAAAAGTCTGACTGATTTTACTTCCAAGTTTTGTTTCCAAGTTTTACCTCTTGGATCTTCATTAATTTTTGGTTTATTTTTGATATTTTTTGCACGATTAGCATAACGTAATGTTGATAACGTTTCTTCATAATTATCATCTGCAGGAGATATAGCAGCAATCATAAGGGTTTTTGTATTGCCACCTAATGAATCTTGCAATAATCTTGTTAATTTGGAATCTCTGTACGGTATGTGTTTTGATCGTCCATCAACAAGTGCCGAAATAACATTTCCGAGTGCACTCAATGATAGATTGATCCGTGTTGCTTCTCTTAATCTTGCTCCTTCAGCGTCTAAAAAATACAAAATATCCTGATAAATGGAAAAAAAGCCCCAATAGTTAAGAGAGAAAAAAAGAGCATTTTACGTGTTTTTGTTTGCCTTTCACTGCCAGCCAAATCAACAAGATTCAGCTTTCCAGCTCGAATATGTTCTTTTCCATCCACCTCACTTTTTGTACATTTTTCTACCATTACGGTAAATATTGAATGTGATCGAGATGAATGTTCATTCATTGATGTTGCTCCTGTAGCTCGATTTTTATTTCCTTTATTCATCAATTTTTCACAATCTGTTACATTTGTGCATTGATGCCATGATAAAGAGGCAACCTGAACACTTCGGTCTGGATGCTCCTACGAGATTAATAATCAATCCATTAGAAATACTGTGCGCAGACTTATTCTTACTTTTAATTCAAGTGCTTTTGTGATGTCTTTTCCTAACATATCGCGAATTGATTCATTGTATATTTCCAAATATGAAGCACGAATTAAATATTTTGTACTACTAGCAACAGTGATTGCTTCAAATATATGCTATAAAAAAGATTCAAACAAGTTGACTTAGATTAGTAGAAATAAAGTAGAGCGCTTCTTTTTGAAGACATCGAAAGAATATTCTTATTTCTCTATAGATAGTTACCTATAAAAAAATAATAAATTCTCTCGTTTATGTGACAAATTTCTTTTGTATAAAGATTAATTAGTTTACCTCAAATGATCTTGGAATCACACCTCTTTGTGGTGAATTACGGTCTGTATCACCTTGCATTGTGAACGACTATAAATGAAAAAAAGAATGTGTAATTTTGCTTAAAAATGAAATAATTTAATTCGGACTCACTTTGCCACATCCTGTTTGCCCGTACGCAAAAACTGTCCCATTATAACCTTCCAAAACCTAGATTTATGTATGTAATATTAAATATGACTAATAGGAATCAAATAAACAACACTTACACTTTCGACCAGCGGAAATATGACGTCAGCATATATAGTTTCAGTTATAGAATCATCGTTGTATACGGAGTCAAACGTAAACTGTTTCGGTGGATCTTGTTGTTGAGCTTTGTTTTGCAATTCAACTTGACATATTGCGGGTGTCATACTGATGACAGACTTAAATAGACATCTTAGCAGTTAAACAAGGCACAAAACGACGTTTTTTTAAAGCTTACCTGACATTTCAATTCCTTCTCTCGTTCGTTGAACGGTCGACATCTTACAATAACTCGTACTGTTTCGCTGCTAGCAGCCATCTAAAAGGCTAGGTGAAACACGTTTTTTTCTTTAAGAGGAATAATATTGTTTCAACGAAAGTACATCCTTACGGGTATTGACCTCCTGCATTTATTATAAGAATTTACAAACGAAGCATCTTCTATCATTAAAAGAACCGTACAAATAAACAAATTTTCTGTTTTGCTGGAATAATCTTTTTTCTCACTTTTTACAGAATAAGGCGATTGTTTAACAAAACTGTATCAGACGGATGTGCTTTCTATCATTTGACATGACATTTAACGTATATTTAATGGTACCATGATCATATAGCAGTTTTCTGCGTTGCTAAGGACAGCGGAAAGACTGATCCACTTCGATTTGAGATAGTTTATAGTCGAAAATGTTAAGATGGAATTGAATACAAGACTCATTTACTGAAAAGATGATTCAACACATTACCGCATGAGTATCCATAGATCCGAGCGCAGCTAGCGAAACACATTGATAGTACGCCCTCTATGGTCTCATATCACGGTTTATTGCTTGTCGACACTACACCACAGCATATGCGTTATTTCAATTAATACGAATAAATAGACGAAAGGCTATTTTTAACAAAGAATAAAAAGTTAGTTCAAACTCAATTCACGTCTCTAGAACCAAACAATTCTACTAGTGGGTTAATACTTATTAAAGATACAATGTGGTATATGACGTGACTTCAAATTTAAAATACAGAAGTTATTCTTATTATACTTATGAATAGATATAACAGCTGTTGCACTTCGAGCAGTAAGAAAAGCAAAAATTCAACTAACCGTTGATTAGCATTTTATTCACTGTATTTTGAAAATTCTTTCATGACAATCTTGTGATCATGATTTTGTTTAACGAAATAACATCTTTTCATATGTATGTAAATAGAGGTTTTTTTCTTCTTCTATGATTCGAACAAAATAGAATCAGAACTAGAATAATTAATATTAATAATAATACATAATAAACAAACGGAAAATACAAAATCGAAAAAAATGAATTTCTGTTTAGATAAACAAGACAATGAATTAATGAATAAAAATGACATGAAGGTATCATATGTGTAAAAACAACCAAGGGGTAGATGAATGCCCAATTCATTTAAAAAAAATAAACAAAAACAAATAAAGCGAAAACTAAGTTACATAACAACAGCGACGACATAATAGGTGAACCTAAACTTCTTGTTTTTTAAGTAAAAAAAGACTGGACAATAACACTCAAACTCGTCCGAAAATATTTGTGTACTTTTTAGTTATTTTGCTTTCTACTATTATCTATCTCGTCTTCTTTTTGTAACCAAAACTCGACTTTTTAAAGCTGACATTTTCACTCCAACTCAGAACTGAAATCTAGTCTAGAACACATACACAACAGTTATATATCTTTTTCTATTAAGTATCCACGCACGCACAACATCTATAACAATACATTGATAAAAGATAAAAAAGCGAGGTACTGTTATCGGATTAGCAATAAACAAACGAAAAGATAATTAATATTTAGGATTTTGAGACGGAAAAAGATGATGGAAATAACTTGGCAAAAATTTTCCGTGATAAACGTTGCGTAATTGGCTGTTGGCTATCCATGTTCGTGGTACTAGTCAATATTCGATTTAATGATGAATCGGACAAAGCATCATCATCATCATCATTTTCTGTTGTTATTAACTGCTTCTCCAATAGAGGAAATGATGATGTTGATGATGTTACAGTTTTTTTTCTTCTTTCATTTTCCGAACAAGACGAAATTGATGATCCCGATAATGATAAATGATTATATTCAGATATTGGCGGATGCCTAACCTTAGGACAATCTATTGTGACTTGTGGTATTGCTGCTGTTGTTTGTCGTGTGAGTGAATACGAAATCGATGATGATGAGGATGTAGAGTTTGTCGGAGATGGTGGTGATAGAAGACGATTATTGTTTGAATTTTTTCGATGTGAACGTGTTGGTAGTTTTTCGCTTGTAAAATTTTGAAGTGACTTGTCGAACTGATTTATTTCTGAAACATTTCTGTTCGGTGGCGGAAACAAACAGGAAAATCTGTCATCGAGTGGACTGTTGTTATTGTGATGTTGTGACATTGTGGTTGTATTCGGTGTTGATCGAAACTGCGTTGTTGTTGTTAGTGATGGTATGTGATATTGAGAAAATGATGAATAACGATGTGAAGGAAGTTGACGATAATTTGATCTAGTCGATGCTGTTGTCTGTATCGATTTCCTACTATGTTGTAATTGTCTAGTATTACAAAATTCATCATCGTCCTTTTTGTTGTTTGATGATGGGGATGCTAATACTGTTGTTGTTTGCTGAGTAGTCGGACGTGAATATGACCACTCTTCATCTTTGGACACTATGACCGGTACAGGATATTGTACGTGTTCATTATGATAGCCTACATGAATTCGATTGAGCTCTTTAAGTCCTTGAATATGTTTTTCATGATCTGTAGTCATTATGACAGAACTATAAATAAATGTCTGTCATTCAGCTAAAGGTTAAATAATCAGTGATGCTACTTACCATGCACCTGGAAATAAAATAAATGAACAATTTTGGTGTTCGTAAATACCAAAGTCGTGTGACGATAGGCTAGTGTTTTCGTCAGCTAAAAACACAAACGTGTCAAAAAAAGTTTCATTAAAAATCATGAATGCGGTTCGTCAAAATCTACAGTTGTTTTGAAGTAGAAAAATGCATATAATTTTTCTTGACAGTCAACGGATGAAAGTAGAATGCCTGGATCCCATTAGCTTCGAGAGAAGACTCTCACATAAAAATGTAGATACATCAACAAACAAAACAAATAATTTTCTTATAATAAAATAATTCTGTTTTTTTATTCATATCTGTCTGAGAATTTGAGTACATAGCAAAAGCACGCACTTGTCACAGTCTCGATACAGTTATCGAATGAGACCATTGAAACTGAAGACACAAGATCAAGTGTTTTTTTAGCCCAAAAACTGATTTAGAAGAATAAAAATCGATCAGTTACTCTTAAGATACAACAAGTTAGTTACTAAGCATCAACGATTCAGATTCATTAGTTGTTTACTATGTTTAGTTTGTTATGTTCTATTGCTCAAGTTCATATGAGCTCTTATCATTATGTTATCGAATTGGATTATGAGCGTACATCGAATGCACCCTTGCTAGAAACAAGATATTCTCTTTAGGCTACTGAATCTGTCAATCAAATCTAAATATCAAAATTAAATACGAATAGATAAGAAAAGATACTTACATTTAACGGAGACAAAATGATAAAATTTTTTTACTGATATTGTTGTTGTTTTTGTATTAGATATATTTTTCACGCGTTGTCGTATCTTTGTTCCGGCTGTCATAACGGTTCCCAAATTAAACAAGAAATGAGCAGAACAATAAAATCAAACATCTGCTGATGAGAAGATGAAATTTTATAAATTCAGTTATTTTTCTATATTTATAATAAGAGACAATATAAAAAAATAGGGGAATAAAATATTTAGGATAATATATTTGATTTTTGATAACAATAACTCGTTCGAAAAATTATCGGCTAATATTACATAATATTTGATTCTTCTTAGTTAATTTTTGTTGACCGATATTACTTGTTGTTGTTATAAAGTTTTTGTTTAGAATCAAAAGGAAATAGAAGAGTTTTCTAGGACACGGCTTTCATCGGTCGGTGTGTCTAAAATAAACGTAAAGTATTACGATGACACAAGAAAATCTAAAAAAATTGTAAATGTACTAAGTTATTTGACAGTCGAATGAATCACATATAATCTACTGTCTGTCTGGGCTACCTAGTCACATCTTTTTCTTTATATTTTACTAGAAGGAAAAGAAACAATAAACGGTGAATAGAAGAAAAAAATTATTTTTTTCCTCTATATCGTTATTTTTGCGATAAGAGTAAAAAATATTCAAAAACATTTTCAAGATGGTTCAATAAAAAGATATGTGCTGTTAACAAGTTATCTCAACATGTTGTTATGAAAACTTTATTAATTTGATAAAAAAAAAACAGAATTATTTTATTATAAGAAAATTATTTGTTTTGTTTGTTGATGTTTCTACATTTTTATGTG